AGCACATTGAATGTTTAATATTGTATGCATTATTTACTGATTTTACGATTATTGATGATAAAGATAACATAATATAAATTATATAAATAAACCAATATTGGTTGATAGTTACTCGACGATGTCGCCAGGTGGCAATTATTGATATTTGTAATTTCAGCTAATAACTTATTACTTCCTATGTCAACTGAATTTAGCAGCCACAAGACATATACATGTACCAATGCATTTGCATGCAGTATGGATACTCTTTGTTTATTTAGATGTATTTATAAACCTACCAACTGTGATAGATGTAAGCTTTATTTTTGTAGATAGTAATAATATTTAAATTAAAATTGCTCTCTTACTTCAAACACATTAATTAAGTGATAAAGCTGCTGTTGTTCTAAACGAAGCTGTTGTGTGGCATATTCTATTTCTTTTTTTTGAAACATAAAGTTATCATCCCGAGAATGAAGATGTGCAGCCACCATTTGTTCTACATCTGCAACTTTATCAACCATTTCCTTATTCTTTTTTTCTAGTTTTCTTAAGTGTTCTTTGTACATAGTAGCTTCTTGGTTATTGTTATTTTGGTGGTATCTGAAAATTAAAATTTGTAAATATAATTCTTTATAATATAATAAATTATTATGTACTATTACTTTTTTAATAACATTTTTAAAGTATTTTTTTGTCCTTCGTTTAGATTGAATGAGCACAATATGTCATCGACACTTACAAGCCAACTGTTTAATCTATGTTCATAAGTATCACTATCTACATTGTTAGATTTGTTTATTTTCTTACAGTTTTGATTGAMTTTAACTTCATTGCATTGACTGTAATAAAGGAAATGATTAATATATTGTTATATGCAGTGGATATTTTTTACTTATTGTAAATATGAATATAATTTAACTATCTGAACAAAGTGAAGAGGATTTGCATTTTTAATTTTTGATGAGGTTTTAACCATTTTAAATTTTCAATAATTATAAGTACATTTACAATGTTATTAAATTAAAATTGTTTTTATAAGTATCAGACAATGATTGTCCAGAATTAATACCTAAATTAATAATTTACCTAACTATAATAATATATATTTTTATAATTATTGTAACCAAGGTATTCTAATAGGTTAAGATAACTCTATTAAATTAATAATTATTATACTATTAAGATAGTTTAATAAAACACCTGAGATTATTTGTTATAGTAGTGATCGATCTGAATAAGCAGGCCAATAATGAATGAACTTGTTTTTCATTAAAATAGTATTGGCACGCCAATTCTGAGATAGCAGAATTTGGTTGAATGCCTAATGCTTCTAGAATATCCTGAACATCATTTAATTTAAAACTAGGCTTGGTGACTGGAATTTTTTGAGTGCTTTCACCCAAACTATTTACATAGGAAGAGAATTCATGTAAATTGCACAATAACGGTACCTAGACAAAAATAGTACTTTTAGATGAGATGTAACAATTATATTCAATGCAAATATTATACGCAAATAAGTAATATCACAAACATGTATAAATTTAAACCTACTTCTGTGATGAACACAGACAATGTAAACAAATTTTCTTGTTTCATCAGAAAATCAGCAACTAAGAGGTTGATGGCTTGAATTTTTGGGGAAGTGATATTTCTCTTGTTAATGTTCCACATAGGGCTGTCTTCTAGAGCAGATATCATCTGTTCTTTTATATGTGCTCGCAGCTTGTTAATGATTCCTTTATCTTCAAACCTTTAGGCGTAGAAATAAAATGAAAAACAAACATCAAAACCAATCACATAGGTAATAAGTAGCGATTTAGTAATAACAAATAACAATGTCATACCACGAGTAAAATTTACTTTGAATGTCAGAAATTTCGGCTCTGGTATTGTGTAAAGGTAAAAAATTGTTTTTACATTTATCAACGTCCATAGTGTGGTAGAGTAATTAGAGTATTATTATTATAACAGTACCACAGTAAAGTTGTAGAAGAGTTCCTGAACTTATTTTTATCGTTTCAGTCAGTGTATTTTATACCTACATCGTTAGATTCAAATTTCATATAGTATGACACACTAGAAATTGAATATATAAAATGCAATATTATTATATTACTTTCCAGTACTCTTTACTTGGACTGTCATTAATCAGTTATCGATATACATTAGCGGGTCAGCACACTCAATTCAGGTATACGCAAGAGTAATCGCCATTCGGTAATGAGTTTGTATTTTGTTGTGTAACTTCTAACTTTGTAAGTTTTAGTTAGAAAACTAGAAACTAATAAACCATTTAACTATAGAAAACGTAAACAAAAACATATACGCGCGGCTACCTGATAAAGCGATAAGTAAACGTTGTTACGCTACCAAAGTTTGAAGTCAAATAATCTCATAATACACGACGCACGCAGATGTCCCTGTAGCGCAGAGGATAGCGCGTTGGACTTCTAATCCAAAGGTCGTGGGTTCGATCCCCACCAGGGATGGACTCCGAAATTTTTGCAATTTTTTTCGCGTTTTTTCTTTTATCATGTAAGATTTATTTATTTATTTCATTTTTAAATTGATGACAATTATTATTTTTATATTCATTATGGTCGTAAAAATACGATAGCAAGGTGAAGTGCAACCACATTCGACATCAGTTGGTGGACTCAGTTCTCTAGTTGGTTCTTCCTTGTACCTTGGACCTAAATCCGTCGCTAATTTACTCATTGCAGAAATTGTGTTATTTTATTTTAGGTAATTGATTATTTATTTGTTTAAAGTGTTTCGACAATATTTGGATGTGCAAACGTGGACCTTTTAGAAATTAATCTGTTGAGGCAGCCAATATTAAGACTTGAGTGGCGATGCCGATGCGTGCGGGTTCATTTAATAATTTTTTGTTGTTGAAAAAAATAATGTGTATGGGATTCTGTAGACTCCTGGTAGATATGTATTACTCTAGAGTTTCCCAACCTTTTGGCTTTTTGTAATGGCCATCATCAAGTTTACCGATTGTTGGTAACGCCACCCACCCCCATCCACACTAAACAAATGCGATTATAATATATTATTATTGATAATAATTTTTAGTATAAGAAATGTTATCATTGCATTTTAATATCATTCAATACTGAATAATAAATAGATAATTCAGTTTAATATAAAGATTATTATTTTTTTTTTATTTATATTATGCCTCGGCGTCAAAGGCCATTGGCGTTGGTTTACAATAGGTTACATATATATATACAATTTATAAGCTCGGACTTATTTATAAATGTTATCATATTACTATTATTGTCTGGGTGTAGGGTTTTTGATAAAATGTTTGATACACCTGCTTCCCGTTTGTCCGTTTCGTATATGCGRCATTCGGATATGATGTGTTTGATTTAAGATTATTATTATTATAAATTAAAATATGTAGGTAAAATAATTTAATTATAAAAAATTATTGATATCCATTGTAAAATCTATATTAGTATATAATATTGTACAATGTTCTTCACATTATTATTATACGTAGAGGTGTCAAATAAAACATAACCTTAGCATTTATAAATTTACTGTTAAAATTATTGTCATATTTTATTTATTTATGGGYCACGGTTGGTGAACCATAAAAAAATTTCGTGATCCAGAATTGGGTTGCGATAACCCATATAGATTGGTCATCCTCATTCCTCATCATCATTAAATATGTATTTAAGTACTCCCTATTACCTCCCGAAAATCCAATTGCAATACAAGGTCATCCACCCGACATATTTAGTGTTACCTTAAATCGTGATCACACTGTACATACAACCATAATATATGTGCCTTTATAGTTTATATATGTCTGTTCATATTTTCTCTCTGTTTCTACTGTAGCGATCACCTTAAATTCTAATCGAAAAATAAAACATTTTACTCACTTATGATACTTATGCTACCATTATTTAATTTTATTTTTACAAATATTTTCGGATGTCGATATTTTAGTCACTAATATCCAACGATTTTATAAAATGTAATTCTATTTTGATGCTGTAGGCACGCTGTATTGTTGATACGAGTTTTTCCAAGTCTAAGTAACAACTAACAACCTAGCTATACACTTCATACACTTATATATACGTTATACGTCGTACATATTATGGTGTAGCTTTTAGTGGATATTACTATTTTATTTATGTGCGACTTAGGCGTGGACTATTTTGCATTTGTTGCGCAAAAGTATACTTACGTACCGCGGTACCTAGTGAAAGTATTCGAGTGTAAATAAAGTTTTAAAACAATATATATTACACACAAATAGTTAAAAAAGTTACAACTATTTTTATCTGTTCCAAAGTAAAATTCAATTTTCAGGTGGTTGGATTTTTGTTTTACCTATATATATAAGAAACAATCATAATTATTTTATTATGGTTTCATATTATATACCTACTTTGAATTGGTCACTGCGCTCAGCAGTGTTAAATAATTTGAAGGTTTACGCTAATTTAGAATTTTAAAAATTWAATTTTCTTTTTGTTTTATTGATATAAATTTAGAATTTAATTTTTAAAAGTATTAAAATGTTGTGGTACCTTCATCGAGATGTCTCTAAAATCTGTCTAATCCGTAATTTTATTTTTATTTTATTTTTAAGTGTTTTATTGTTATATTTTGTAACAGATCAAATAAAAAAATCTTAYGAAGCAAAAAAAATTAATTTACTGTCGTAGGTAAGTTGAAACAATAAAATTATTTAATTGCATAAGGTAACTATAAAGATAACATTCTTATTATGATTTTTAAGATTTCWTCTAAGTAGGATATCACTGTAGTCTATAATATCTACTAGAATGGTAATTTAATTTGCCAACATTTTTATAAGAAATTATATTACAAACGTCGTCGATGAACCATGGTAGTCACATCCAAATTACAATTTGTATGTATACTATAAATATGCAAAGTTTTCCAACAGTTTCAGTTATATTTAACCATCAATAAACAATGGYTCAATGGAAATTATTAATGAACCATTATATTTATTTTGTGCTCCAAAAGTTTCAAAATTGAATAATTCACGAGCTTCGAAAACAAACCCATATTTTAATTTCCTATGTTATTTCACAAGATTAATAAAATAACATAACAGATTTATATTAATGAAGTATATACCTAGTGTTGTGCAATAAAATTCATCAATTCCGTAAAGATTTACGCGCTCCGAACATGTAAATACCTATCAAATGGGTTATCAACCTAAAGTAGGCTATATCAACACTTGTTTTTGAGTTCATACCACAGACAAAAAAAAAAGATGGCTATTTAATATAATATATATTGGTGATTATTTATTAACTGGGACATTTTAGAAATAAGTGTACTTTACGCAACTTCATTTTCTTCAATCGATGTATTTTTGTCTCTAAAAACAATATTGATGAGGTCATAACCATTACTAAATAAAAATAAAAATACCTCGTATTATTAATTATGTTTACGAATAAAACGCAACTTATATTAATAATTTTATAATCTTTTCTATAAGGGATACCTAACTAAAGAATAGGTACTCAATACTATGAAATTTAGTTAAAAAAGTAAAATTAGTTTTCCATGTTTACTGTTTATAAATTCCTTATAAAAAAAGTATATATTATTATGTATTTATTTTTGTTTTACATAAATGTTCACCGACTACCGAGTGAATATTATGCGTGAATTGTATTAAAGTATAATGTATAATATAATATAGATTTAGATTATCATTATCATTGCTAAACTATGCACCAGATAGTGTTTCTCAATCTTTGTATTATGGCAACACAATTAAAATATTTTATGTTCTGTGCTACACATTTGAATTTTTTAGAAAGACTTTCTTTATTTGTCTTTAAAACTTGATGAGACATTTATAGGAAGTGAATAGTTTTTTCTGTTTTGGAGTTGTCTCCATCTGTATTTTCTCTTGCAATATTACTATTTAAATTTTGTCAATCAAAAATGTTGTGTCATGTAAGTGCTTTGCGACACATTTTGAGTTACCTGGTGACACATGCACCGATTGAGAAACATAAGTATTTGTATATAGTAMACAAATAATGTTTTTTTTAGAAAAAGAATAGATTTTATTAGATACTATATTTATAAAAATCTATTTATATCATAATCATACACTTTTCCCTTATTTTAATGCATAGGTTCATTTATTTCGTAATAATCTACGAATTAAATACCAATAGATTATACAATTTTACTGTTATTATTTACTGTAATATTTATGCTCTATATAGTTTTTATTAACAAAGGTGTATAACACTGGTATAATACATTCAATTTCTGCTTTCATCAACACATTTCGCTAAAACATAATAATATTTAAGATATGATAATGAAAACTGTTTCGAAATAATAAACTACTTTGAATATTCTAGGAACTACGAACATTAACAGTCATTTTAATTTGAATACATTTTTTAATTTGAAATTTGGCCCGTAAATGAATTTTATATTACATTTTTGAATTTATTTATCTAAAGTCTAAAATATKCTTCGTATAACTAAAAACCTAACTAGTTTTTCTTTGTTATGAACCGACAATTAATAAAACATTTAAATTTTTCTCATCATCATGCATATACCTATATCAAAGAAGTTAAATATTCTGGGTCAACTGTTTTTTTCACGTATTTTCAAGCTCAAAGTATTTTGGGATTCGTTTTATATTAAATTGGGTTCCTTCTAGAAAAGTACCATAACAAGATTTTGTAGGGATTTAAAAAGTGTACAAAGCATCGTATAGGTTTTGAATACTTCTCAATTACTTGTTAGCTTGAAAAAGGTTATTTTATTCTAATATTATACACAGGTTTGTGCTATACCTATGTAMAAAGCTCTTGTGAAATAGATACATATTTAATTTACTGTTAGTACATTATATGTATATATAGTTATATAAAGTAGTTATATGTATAAGGATGCGTACAAACTGTAAAGGCGTCATAAATATATTTTAAATTCAATCAAATTAAACTTAAATAATATATATGTCATCAAAAACTTTTAACATGTTTTATAAAATAATATTTTTTTATTATTATTATTAATTTGCTCGTTCTAAGTTTGTTTTGAAGTATTATGGATTTACCATAAGATAAAACACTTCAAAACATTTTATTTTTATTTGATTCATAGTTTATAAACATTGTTATAGTTTTACAATTACATACCATACAACATGAAAATAATGAACATCATTAAAGAAATATCGCTTTCTTACTCCGTTGAATACAAATTTAGAATTCATTTAGAATYCAAATTTTTCAAGTGGTATAAATAATTTT